GTGGGTTCCCTCTACCCCATCAAGCAGGTGCGTAGCAAGTCAGCTTGTGTGTGTCTGTGCCGGTCTGTCGGGCCGTGTGCGTCCCATGTTTCCCAAACTCAGCATTTGGGTACTTTTGTCACAATTTTGCCACATCGTCGTTCCTCCTGAACCATTATCTACTTAATATTTTTCTCTAAACCAACTCACTTTTTCCCTTTATCCTTATGCTAGGGACTGATATCCATAAAATCATGGGTTTGATGTGTGTGTATGATTTTTCTTTAATTGGCATTATAATAAATACATTACCATTAAATTTTTAGCCATCTGTTTACCCACTTAGGACTAAAAATCATCTCATGTGCCTCCCTCTGGGAAACGCTGGAACACCTGGAAACACTTGGGTTTCTCCAGGTCTGAGAGCGCATGTCTGGACCTGCTTCTCACTTATGTACATGTGCATTGATGTGGAGGCATGGCCATGGGGCACGTGCAAGCCCTCTCGGGGTGTTTCCGTGGCTGTGATGTTATTTGTATCCATGTGTCTGTGCTATGGAGGTGATGTGGTTGTGTGGGAGGTGTGTATATGACTACACGTGCCTGCTTTTGTGCCACTGTTGAGACAGCGTGTGTCCTTGTATGAGGATCTTTGTGTGGCCCCTAGATTCACAGACTCTTAGGACAGCATTGCTAGAAGAAAGGTTGGAGGTTATCTCCGGCCCCCACATTTACAGGTGGGGAAATAAAGGTCCACAGAAGTGGACAAGGATTTGCTCTGCAATCTTGAGCAAGTACTGTACCTCCATGGACCTCTTTAAAATAGGGATAATGTAGGGGCCACCTGGCTGGCTCCGTCGGTAGAGCGTGCGACTCTTGATCTCAGGGTTTTGAGTTCGAGCCCCACGTTAGGTGTAGAGATTGCTTACAAAAAAGCCAAAAAAAAAAAATCTTTAAAAAGAAATAAAATGGGGGATAACACATGTGATGGAGTTGTCTTGAGGACTGAAGATAAATAATGTCTGTATAGCTCTTAGAACGGTACTTGAGTGGGTAAGCACTCAGCACACGTTAGTGGTGGTTCTTCTGACTGTTATTACCATCACCACGATCCAAGACCCCTGGCTGATCTGTGGCAGAGCCTGGTCTGATTTGTGACGACCGGGTGTCTGCCCCACCCCCGGGCCAGTGTTCTTCTTCAGCACGGGTGTGTGTGTGCATGTCTGTATACCTACCCAGGCAAACATGGGGTGTGGAGTCAGCTGGCGGGGGACTGCGTGTGCATGGCTGCATGTGTCTGTGGGTTTGTGGCTGCAGCAAACTTCTGCCCAGCCACGTGGACCTGGGGCGTCTCTGCCAGTGTGTCCCCGTGCATGTGGCTGCGGTGTCTGTGGTCATGGGTGTGCACCACGGATGCACCCCTGCTACACGTGTGTGAGAGAAGAAGCAGGGCCAAGGAAGGCTTCAGGGCAGGAGGGAGGGCTTGGGGGGCTGGGGATACTTGTGGCTCCCGAGCTGAGGGTGTCGGGTGCCCAGCTGGGAGCATCCCTGCCCTGGGGACCTCTCACTCTCTGCTCCCCCTGCCCACCCCCCCAGCGCCGGGCTTATTTCCGCCTCTGGAATGCCGCACTGAGGGGATTCCTGGTGGTGCCAGACCACGTGGAGGACATGAAGGCAGGCCGTGTGGTGGTCTCCGAGCCCCAAGCGGGAGGCAGCTCCGTCTGGTACTACGAGCACGGGCTGCTGAAGAACCAGGTACCGGTTGAGGGACTGGGACAGGAACACTAGAGCCCCAGGTACTCGAAGGTTCCCTGCGTGGGGAAGCAGGACCTGCCCTCGGGCCAGAGAGACAGAGAGAGACACACACCTACCAGGACCCTGGGGAGGTGGGGAAGACTGCGGGCTCTGCTCCCCTGGGCCGTGTGGGCTCTTCTCTGGGCCTCAGTTCCCCGTCTGCAAAACGAGAGCATTGAACCAGATACTTCTAAGGGGACTCCCAGCTCTGATATCCTGGGACAGACCTTGGATCCTATTAATAAGGATAGATTCACTCCACGAACATTTCCCGAGCACCTGCCCTTCCGAAGCTGACATCGTAGTGGGGGAGAGACAGAAACCATTTAAATGAGTAAAATACCTCAGTATGTTAGGAGACGAGAAGTGCATGAGAGGAAAAATCAATGAAAGGGGAACAAGGAGTATCAGTAGCTCTGACAAGGGGAGCCCTTCCTAAGAAGGTGGCATTTGAGGGAGGCAGCCATGTAGGTATCTGCAGGAAGTGTGCTCCCCGCAGGGGGAACAGCAGCGGAAAGGCCCTGAGGTGGGAACCTGCCTGGCAACAGGACTAGCTGGCTCCCCTCACGGGAGGCAGTGAAGGGAGGGAGGGAGGGAAGTAGCAAGAGAGAGGAGGTCAGAAAGGTTACGGGGGTGTGGGTCTTTGTAGGCCATGGAAGGAGCTTTGCTTCTTACTTGAAATGAGAGAGAACCTGGCTCTGTGGCAGGTGCTGTGGTAAGCCCTCTACATGAATGCCTCGTATGATTCTCAGAGGGCACTATGGGGCAGGTCTTACTCTACTCTCTGTTTTATAGGTGAGGAAACTGGAGCACAGAGAAGTTAAGTAACAGGCTGAAAGTCACACAGGCAGTTAGTGTGTGGAAGCTTTCTGATGCGAAGTCTTGTGCTTTGGGAGTCAGTCACAAGAGGCTTCCTGGAGGAGCTATTTTTCCAGAACTTTTATGGTTTTTCACATGGACTGCTTGCATCAGGCAGCACTCAGAGGTTCCCATCCCCAGGGAATCCAGTGCGCAGAAGGATTAAGAGATTTGCCGAGGGTCCCAGTCCCTGAGAGCCAGGATTCAAAGCTGGGTGTGTGTTAAGGGTGTCGCGTTTGGCGGAGTCCCTGATGACCTCCTGGGGCCTCAGGTGGCCCCGACCATGAGCCTGCAGGTGATCGGGCCCCCCAGCACAGGCTCCAAGGCGGTGCTGTGGGCTGAGAGCCGCCTGCCCCGCCAGACGTGGAGCATCAGTGAATCGGGCCACATCTGCAGCCAGATGTTTGAAGGCCGGATCCTAGATGTGAAGGGTAAGGGGGCCTGTATGCGGGAGAAGGCACCTGGGGGGGCTGCAGCCAGTGGGGTCCTCAACAATCTCTGACCATCTCCCCATCTCTCACCCCTTCCCCCAGGCGGCCGGGGCTATGACCAGGACCATGCGGTGCTGTGGGAGCTGGCCAAGGACCGGGCGTCCCAGATCTGGACCGTCCATGTGCTCTGACCGCCCCATTTCCCAGCCCTGGAGGCTTTCCCTGGGATGGAATGTTTTTATAGGTTTTTTGTTGTTGTTGTAACATAAGCTGTTTTCTAATATGCTCCGAGGCGCCCTCATCTTTGTGCACCTTGATATTTGGGGATGGGGTGAGGATTTGTTCCCCTGCCTTCTTTGCCCTATACTTGCCCTCCTTTCTGCCCAGCTCTGGTTCTGGGACTCAGATGTAAGGCCTCCCTCGGCCACCAGAGGGAGCACTGGGCCCAGATGAACTGAGGAGTGTGGTCTTTTACGCTGTCACCCCAAATGATGGGTTCCAAGAGCCGGCTCTGAGCCAGGTCCAAATGGGTCCACTGAACTGTGGGGCACAAACAGAAGCCAACCCCCTTGGTACCTGCCCTCAGAGAACTCACAGGCTAGTGGAGGATTCCAACAGGTAGGGTGATACACTCAGTGGTAGGATAGGAAGGGAAGTAGAAGGATGCACAGAGGAGGAACCTGAACCACTTAGGGGCACAGGGCAGGCCGCTGGGAGGAAGGGATGCTCAGCTGAGATGTGGAGGAGGGGAAGGAGTCAGCCAGGCTAGAGGGTGGCAGAGGAAAAGTGTTCTAGGGATGCAGATAAGTCGAGGGGTGAAGACTTGGAAGTTCAGTGTGAAGGAGTTGCAGCGGGCCAGGCAGGAGAGGTGAATGGGAGACACACCCCCAAGGACCTTGCCCACCAGCGTCCCTCATAATTTCCCCAAACTCTGGTCTAAAGGCCCAAAGGTTTGGCATCTCAGGCAAAGAAGCCAGGACAGGGAGTCTGGGTTCTTAATCCAGCCTAGAAAAGGCAGGACATAGAAGAGGAACAGCTCCCTCCATCCCCCGATCTAGCAGGCACTTCTCAGCCCCTTGGCCAAGGTCCTCTAAAAAGAGACAGAGAAGCTCAAGGCCCTTGGGGCCTTCTATGGGGCTCCCTTCCCTCCTTGCAGCTCCCAGTACCACCACTGCAGACCCAGGAGGCTAGAAGTGGTTAGAGCAGCTGTGTGTCCTTCCTGCCTTCTCAGCCTGGGTTCGGTGGGGTACAAGTGGACGGCCTCCTCTTCATCCTTCTCAGCACCCCTGGTGGACCAGTGTCCAGTGTCCGGTGAGGACAGGAGAGTGCCTGTGGGGCTGAGACCCCAAGAGCCTGAGGGAGTGGGTCTCTGAACCTGCCATTCTGAAGACACCCAGGTATAGGGTGAGGAACTCTCTGAGTTTCTGCAACTGGGGATGTCCAGGGGCAGGATGGGGGGGTGGGCCCTCTGGGACCATCATTCCCAAACACCCAGGGGTGGGTGAAGCACATGCAACTAAAGAGGCTGGCAGATTCTGGGGCCATGTCCCTGCAAGGTGATCCTGAGGGGAGAGGCCTCCGCCCTGGGATTCTGGGGCGGGAATGCTAGGGTAGGAACTCTCTGGTGCTGCCTCTCCTGCTGATGGGGGCAAGGGAAGATCCTTGGTGCTGCTGCCAACCAGGCTCTTGGAGCCCAGTGATGTGCAGTGACCACACACAGGACACTACTCCAAGTACAGGACAACTTTATTGATCCCCAGCTGGGTGGCGCTTGCCCCTCCATAGCTCCAAGGCACTGCCTCTCAATTCCCACAGCCTGGGCATCTCTGGCATCAACCCCTCCCGGGGACGTGGTGGTGGTGGGGCGGGGGGCTTCTCTTGCTAGTGATGGTGGCAGATGTCTAATGGGGCCCAGGGCTAGGGCAGAGGCATGTCACCTCAGCTGAGGTAGAAGAGCTGGATGAGGGTGTTGGCCAGGAAGAGAAAGACACTGCCACCGCCCAGGTTGCTGAGTGCTGGTGACACACTCTTGGGTTTCTTGGTGGTGGCAGCGGTGGTACCATTTCCCAGGACTCCAGTTTCTACCTGCAAGAGAAGTGGGGCAAGCTCAGGGGCTTTCGAAGCTCAGGTCATTTAGAGACCTAGTTCCCCTACCCTGATACAGTAGTTCTCTGTTCTCTGTTCCCCATGACCACGACTTCTGCCACAAGGTCCTGTGGGGACAGGACCTTCCTGCCTTGACACAGGCGGGGTCAAAGGCGGTCCCTCCCCTGCCTCCTGTGGAAGCTTCCTCTCACCTCAGCCAAGGCACCAGCCCTCTAGCATGTGGGAGACAGGAATCTGTGGTCCCAGCCCTTGACCTGACTAGCAGGGCTAGGGGCTTAGCCTCTCTGAGCCTGCTTCCTCATCTTCTGAAATGAGCCCATCACAGTCTTGAGGTCGTGTGAGACAGGGCTGGGGAGAAGAAACTGGCAAAATGTGGGTGGGCGAGGAGGTGGGGAAGGTGTGACCTCTTGCCCGAGGAAATCGCCAGATGGTGATCAAACTGTTCTCAATGCTTGACCAGGCTACAAGTAAAGCTGCTCCTGGTGGAGATAAAGCTGTTTTTGATGGTGATCAGGCTGTTCTTGATGCTTGATCAAGCTGTTCTTGATCTAGAACTTGATGGCTCTGGTCTCCTATGCGGACTAGCACCCTTAGGGCATGTGGGATGCTCCCAAGCTGCCTCCTGGAATAGCAGTTGATTTTGAGACTCCAGCTGTTTCTGGAGTGGGAGATTTCTATCTTCTTTGCATTCCCGAACACACAGGCTTTTCTGCCTGGGGTGGTTCCCTGCTATCTCCAGGACCAGATCTGGCTCCCCTTGAACCTGTCCTGGCCCCTTCCCAACAGGGCCACTTCCCCAGCTTCCCTGGGGATTGATGCCATCCTCGCTCCGAGCTGTCTCCCCAAGCCTCGTCATTCCTATTCCACATCACCCCCCAGTGTGCCTCACTGTGCCTGGCACCCTGCGAATGCTCCCCAGCCTCAAGCAGTCTGTGCCCAGCCCGAAGGGCTGGAATGCTGGGGACTGGGGGGCTCAGCCCCCTGAGTCCTGGGTTCTCCTGCTGGGACCCTCTGTTCTCCTGGAAGAAGGCTGAGTGCCCAGGAGCCTGCATGTCTTCCCTCCCCTACCAGGCAGGGCTGGGGAGTCCTGGGTGGTGGTGTCAGGGGGCTCCAAGGGGCTGTTCTTACCTGAATCAGAACCAGGAGACTGATGGTGAGTAGGAGGAAGAAGGAGCCCTTCATCTTTGGAGAATTTTGGTGGCTGTCTTGGTAGCAGCTTCTAGAGATGAGCGCAGGCTTGTCTGCAGGCCTCTTGGCTTGGCTGCTTTTGAACCAAGAGGCAGGGGAGGCGGGATAGAAGCAGGAAGAAGGAGGGCCTATGGGTGTGGGGTGGGGTGCTTCTACCTTTCTACAGACCTCATGATTGAGGACACCAGGCCCTAGGTTCTAAGGCCCTCTGTAGATGGTAGGTTCTGGATAGGGACTGAGGGAAGTGTCGGGGTGGGAGGTGGGCAAACCAAGGGAGCCTCTGTGGGACAGTAAGCAGGGCCCTGAGCTGGGAGTCTGGCAGAGTGGGGAGTGAATCTTGATCTAATTACCTATCAACCCTGAGACCTGGGCTAGCAACTGTGCCTCTCTGAATCTTTAACGCCAAGAGCTGCCAGAGGATTAAATGCAATATAATTAAGAATATTGGAGCAGGGGATAGGAGCTAAAAAAGAGGCTGAGATAGGCTTAGGTTTCAAGGTAAGGTTGTCGCTGGCTCCACAGTTGCAGAGCGAACGTTTGGGGACCATGAAAACTTAGGGTTAATAGATTTCTGCGAAATCAAAGGAGCACAGCTTTAGGAATCCGGAGACCTAACTTCTGGGTGAGCCCATTCCCTCCAGGCCTCAGGTTTCACCTTTCAAGTGAGAAGACTGGAGTGGATGACTATTTTAAGGCCTAGAATTTTGTGATTTGGATACAGAAAATAGCAGATGGGTTGTTTGTATTGCTGACCTTAACAATGAAACAGTTATTTGATCCAAAACGGGTTTATTTGGGAATAGAAGAGAATTGCAATTCAGGGCCAGCAAGCTACACCAAAACCCAGAGGCTAGCCCAACAAAGGAGAGAAACCTTATTTAACGGAGAAGGAGGAGGAAGTTGGGAGGAGTTGTTTTGAACAGAAGTCTAAAGGAGAGAAGGCGGCAAGTCCAGGGTGGTGATTTCTCATTGGCTGAGCTGCTGGGGTGGTCTGCTTCCCTTTTCCTGTTGGGGTCTGTAACCGACAAGTCTTTCTGTAATTGAGGTTGGGTGATATGGCCTGAGAGCTCCCCCTGCTGGCCTCTCCGCTCCATTTTAGTAAGGTTTCCTTTTCTTTCCACATTTCCTCCTTGTGATCAAGATCTTTCTCCAAAAGCATCCCTGATCAAGAGTCCGGTTTTCCTAATTCAGTGACCTTTTGTCCCCCAGTGCCAGAAGGGGCCTTCCCTGGGTGTCATTTCCCAAATCAAGGAAATTGTACAGGTTGGAAATTCCCATTTGAGAAAGGAGGAGGGGAAGCAGGAGAACTCTCAGGCACTTCCCGCCTTTAGTTCACATTTATCAAGAACGTAGTATCGGAGATCATCTCCTTTTTGGGTATATCATTTTAGAAAGGTCTGGCAGGCAACAAGTACAGAATCAAAAGTAATACGACAATTCCAAAGATACAATTTGTGGTTCCAAACCAGGACCCTAGCCCTGAAAGTAGCCAGCTGAAAAATATTGGCATTTATTCCAACATAGGGGAGAAGAGTTCTCCCTGTGGAGGCAAACCCCCAATGACCTATGCCTCCTGGTAGTGCCTTCTTAACTTGGCCATGAACACAAAACAGTGAATACCGCAAGAGCCCTTTGAAAGAATTCACAGAGGGCATTTGTGAAGACACAGTGCGGGTATGACCATGAAGCAATAGTTGGTTAAATTTTTGCAAAACAGCAAAACTTCAAATATGTTTTAAAAACGGTATTCTTGGGACACCTGGGTGGCTCAGTGGTTAAGCGTCTGCCTTCGGCTCAGGTCATGTTCCCAGGGTCCTGGGATCGAGTCCCGCATCGGGCTCCCTGCTCACCTTCCCTTTCTCGCTGTTTCTCTCTGTCAAATAAATAAATCAAATCTTAAAACAAAAAAATCAAAAGAACCAAAAAACCCCACAGTATTCTTATCTCAAAAGAACTCTTTGACATGAGTGTGTTATCAGTAATATAGCTGGTAAGGCTGTAAATTCAGAAAATATGAATTTGGATAAGAATTCAGAGTCTGTTAAGAGTTCACATGAAAAAGAGAGACTTTTATGAATCCTGAACCTTCTAACAGGCCTAGTCTGGACATCTTGGCAACACTGTCTGTCGGATGTGGTCGGCTCAGACTCCGGGAAATCTTGACTTTCAGGTCACCAGGTGGTGGGAGGGTCCAATCAGGGTTTGGTGCTTTCCGAACTTGTGTCATGTGAATTCAAGATTCTAGGCCTGGGAGTTTGGCTAGCAACACCTGAGAGGGGCCTTTCCCGCGAGGTTGAAAAGTCTTTCTGGAATGTCTCTTTTCCAATAGACAAAATCTCCAGGTTGCAGGGTATGGTGTTTAAGGTCTTCATCTCCCAAGAGCGCAAGATGAAAAGATTGCTCTACCAAAGCGTGGTTATTCTATTTATTTATTTATTTGTTTGCTTATTTAGAGAAGGTGGGGGGAGGGGCAGAGGGCGAGGGCGAGAGAGAATCTTAAGCAGGCTCCACACCCAGCATGGAGCCTGACCTGGGGCTAACAATCACAACCCTGAGATGGTGACCTGAGTCAAAATCAAGAGTTGGACACTTAACTGACCGAGACACCCAGGTGCACCAGCATGGTTATTATTTGTTTAATTTAATTTATATTCAATTAATTAACATATAGTATATTACTAGTTTTAGAGGTAGAGTTCAGTGATTGATCAGTTGCATAGAACACCCAGTGCTCATTACATCACATGCCCTCCTAAATGCCCATCACCCAGTTACCCCATCCCCCCACGCCCCTCCCCTCCAGCAACCCTCAGTTTGTTTCCTATAGTTAAAGAGTCTTTTATGGTTTGTCTCCCTCTCTGATTTTGTCTTATTTTTCCCTCCCTTCCCCTATGATCCTGTTTTTTCTTAAATTCCTCATATGAGTGAAATCATATGATAACTGGCTTTCCCTAATTGACTTATTGCACTTAGCATAATACCTTCTAGTTCCATCCAAGTCATTGCAAATGGTAAGATTTCATTTTTTTGATGCCTGAGTAATATTCCATTGTATGTATATATCACATCTTCTTTATCCATTCATTTTGTTGATGGACATCTGGGCTTTCCATAGTTTGGCTATTGTGAACATTGCTACTATAAACATTGGAGTGCAGGTGCCCCTTTGGATCACTACGCTTGTATCTTTTGGGTAAATACCTAGTAATGCCATTGCTGGGTCATAGGATAGCTCTATTTTAAACTTTTTGAGGAACCTCCATACTGTTTTCCAGAGTGGCTGCACCAGCTTGCATTCCCACCAGCAGTGTAGGAGGGTTCCCCTTTCTCCACATTCTCACCAACATCTGTCATTTCCTGAGTCATTAATCTTAGCCATTCTGACTGGTGTGAGGTGATATCTCATTGTAGTTTTGATTTGTATTTTCCTGATGCCGAGTGATGTTGAGAATGTTTTATGTTTCCATTGGCCATTTATATGTCTTCTTTGGAGAAATGTCTGTTCATATCTTCTGCCCATTTCTTGACTGGGTTATTTGTTTTTTGAGTGTTGAGTTTGATAAGTTCTTTATAGATTTTGGATACTAGCCCTTCATCTGATAAGACATTTGCAAATATCTTCCCCATTCTGTCAGTTGTCTTTTGGTTTTGTCAACTGTTTCCTTTCCTGTGCAAAAGCTTTTTATCTTGATGAAGTCCCAATAGTTCATTTTCGCCCTTGCTTCCCTTGCCTTTGGAGACGTGTCTAGAGAGAAGTTGCTGCAGCCAAGGTCACAGAGGTTGCTGCTTGTGTTCTCCTCTAGGATTTTGATGGATTCATGTCTCACATTTAGGTCTTTCATCCATTTTGAGTTTTTTTCTGTGTATGGTGTAAGAAAATGGTCCAGTTTCATTCTTCTGCCTGCGGCTGTCCAATTTCCCCAACACCATTTGTTGAAGATATTCTTTTCTGCTTTGTCAAAGAGTAGTTGACCATAGAGTTGAGGGTCCATTTCTGGGTTCTCCATTCTGTTCCACTGATCTATGTGTCTGTTTTGGTGCCAGTACCACCCAGCATGTTTTGTTTTTTTTTTT